CTATGTTAATAAGGGTGAAAACAAGTGAGGATGCAGATGAATTGCACAAAATCTTACTCGAGAAGAAGGAGGCTTAAGTATGTTGCAGTCAGTGATTTGAGAAATTATTGCCAAACTGCTGCTGCTCTATTTTTTTTTCCTTCCATATCTTCACCTGAACACTTAACTCTTTATTCTGATACTAAGAACTGCTATAGAAATTCTGGAAAAATCTGTGAGGAAAAGGTAAACTAGCTAATAAAAGTTTTAATAGAACAAGTTTTGGACTGTGCTCCCTCATTTTTCAACGTTGAAATGCAGGACCTCTTCTGGATAAACTACACTGACTTAAATTAAAGCATGTTTTTAACACTGGTCAGTTTGACTGAATGGACTGAAATCAGAGTATAAAACATGGTACCAGAGATTCCTCACAGACTACAGTGCAATGCAACAGCCTCCTATTTTGAGAGGATATTCAAATTTAATCGCTGAAACTGTTTCTGTACTCAAGATTTTTATTTTTAATTGGTCTGTCATTCTGGTGAGACTAATTTTTCAAACTGTCAATAATGACAATGTACCCAAACAATGATGATGTATATTGTACTGTGTTTTAACTCTTACAAACTTGTGTGATTCTGGGACTTGGAGACTGCATCTCCAGCTATTTAATGCAAAGTTAGCTTGCGTAGTCTTGTTGACAATAGTGTTTCTTAGAGAAGAACTGTCAGTTCTGTTCTTACTGTAGCAACAAGCTAATGATGTGCAATAGTATAAGCAGACAACTGGAAGACTGTTTATCTTGGACCACAACCACAGCTGGCATTTACTGCCTTCTGACAAGTCAGAGGCAAAGGTTCCAATGTATTCTTCCCTAATCTGTTGGGCTAACACTGAAATTCAGCAAAGGCAGAAGGTACTTGTCTTGCTAGTTGCTAGTACTTCACTGAAGATAGCTTTTTCACAGACAATGTTCAGGATTTTTACAAATCCTTGTACTCTCTCTGGCCATTACCAAGAATGCATGCACAAATGTATGTCAGTAATTATCTTTCCCATGTGCTCAAACTACAGTGCATTGCTGCACTACCTAAAGCAGTAGGTTCACAGCTTTCTGTCACAATGAGGGAGCACTTATTTAATCTGTAACAGGTTTTAGCAGAGTTGAAGTAAACCATGTGGCAGTGATTCACAGAGCCACAGAGCAGAACATTGTTTTGTCCTAGATTTCCATCAGACCTTGTTCAGTTAGTTAATCCTTTTCTTTTTCAAATCTTGTCCTAGTTGGCTGGAAACTCCCTCATAAATATTTTTCTGCTTCACTTTCATCTCTGAGAACTATCAGAGAGCTGGACACTGAGGTTCAGTTTGACCTCTGATTTGTTACAGTGACCAGCTCTGGGGATTTGGAAGAAACATGCCACCCTGTTTCTGGCTAATAAGGCACAGAAGGAAAAACCAAACATTCACTAATGCAGCAGCATGATGCAATTCTCACAGGGGATGATACAATCCGTAACAGTGGCAGCCTGTGGTAGGGAAAAAGGAGAAGCACTATTTGAGTAGATTCTATCTATCTGCTCTCCATGAGGGAACAAATGGCTGTCTTTAGCCCTAGTTTACTGCACAATTCAGGTTAAGGCCTTTTTTTTTTCCCCCTGTTAACCACAAAGGAGAAAAACTTGACAGCATTTACAGCCCTCCTGACCAAAGTTCAAAAACAAAGGCCTTTGTTCACATTTCAGCTTCACTGAGATCACTGGAATTGCATTTTTAACACTCAAGTGTAAAGGGAGCATAGATACCATTTTGAGTATTATTCAATAAATACAAAGTTGTGCCTTTTTTTTTTTTTTTTTTTTTGCACCCAGCTTAGTGTTTAACTGTTAAAAATAATTGACATTACTTTCCTCAATTTTGATTTTTTCTGAAGTCTTGCTGATACCGAAACTGGAGGCCAAAAGCTGAAGGCTTTCATGGTAACTGTGTATGAATGAAAAACAGAACTATTGCCTGAAAGTTTATTTATAGGCTCAGGTGTATCGTCCAAGGGCTCAGTTAATCTTGCATTTGTCTTTTGACTGTAGTGTCTTAACCTGTCTCCATGAAGCAGCATTTATAGGTTAAACTGCTGGATGGGGTGAGCAGATTTTTGTTACACATCTCACTTTAAGAGTAATTCAGTACAGATGGTTTCAGGGATCTTAGTTTTATGTTTATTTCCTAAATCTCATGGGTTTATATCTTACTGCATATCCATTGAAGCATGGACCAATTAAAACAGTTAAGAAGCAAACTGAACATCCTAGGTATCCTAAATGACTTACCTGCAAAGTGAGGCAGTCGGAGGGTTTTTTGCACATCTAAAACTGCCTAATGCATCTTTGTTGTTTTTTCAAGGGTGGCCATTCTGAGGATGAGCACAGAGTCTAAGAAAAAGGTAAACAGAATAATAGAATATGCTCACACACTGGAGAACAGTATTCATGGTAGCAAGCAATATCTTCAATTAGCTGTGGGAAAGACTAGTAGAGATGAAACATCAAAATTCTTTAGCAGCGTACGTATTTATCAGTAAAGCCTAGGGAAAGGTAATAGGAATCTTGTGTTAATTACAATGTCAGATATCTGGCTTTAGAAACATGGTTTTAAAAAATGGGAAAGATTAATTGCAAATTAGAGATTTAACCAACATCATTCTTAGTGACCCTGCAATTATCTGACGATGAAGCAGTAGAAGTCAGTCAAACGTTTCACATGGTGTTCAATTATAAAGCACAATCCTACTCAGTACTGTTACTAAAAACAAATCTATGATGAACCTTCAGTTTCTATTTAAATATTAAAATAAAATGATCGTTTTAAAAAGCCAGGGATCATTACATAGAAAACTAAAATGAGTTAAAAGTAACTTAGCGGGGAGAACGGAAATCAATTTATGCCTTCATAACTAAGTGGCTACACAAGGAAGGACTCTGATCAGAATTCCTGTTCAATGAGGCATTCCTGTATCATGGTTAATATCACGGTAGATATCAGACAGCTGATGTTAAAAATCTTAAGTTTCCTCCTGTAATTTGAGTTAATGCCTAGACTGTTAAAGCTGTACATAGGTGTTGGAGTGTCTAATGGATGATATGCATTCTTCCTTTTGTTGCAATTTTGATATTTCAGCAGCTTGAAAGCCTTTTCCCTCCCACCTTTCTGCTCCTCAAAAAGAAGACAGTGAGGATCTCAGCTTCTTTGTACTTCTCAGAACCATCTCTAAGAGAGATTATTACTGTTGTGAATTTTGTTTTAAAATACTAAGTTGCTATTTCCAGATCTTTTGTAATGTACTTAAATGATCTATTTGGGAACACAAGACCATCTTCCTATAATCTCTTTTTGCTGATGGACATGAAAACTCTAATCTGTAGTTTAAATGAAGATGTTGCAGAACACAAACCAATTAGGAGGTAAGGCTTTAGTAGCAGGAACTTTAGTTCAAGTCCCTTTGCAGCACTGTAACACTTAAAATGTTCTTAAAGACCTACTTTCTGATGCCTTAACTTATTTGCATCTGCTAAAATTTTGTAGCTGGTGCCTGTGTGCAAAAATTTACTGTCATTAAACAATCTTAAGTGGCGTGAGTTAGTATAAATTCAATGAAAATGCTGAATGTGATTATCTCTTAATAGACTTCAAACTGCTCTGAGTTTTTCAATGGATACTTAATTTTCATATAACTTGTACCGACGTTTTCGTTAGTTCTCATGCATTGAGGAAGTGTACAAAAATCCTTGGAAAATGTGAATAAATGAATGAGAGAAATGTCTTGTGTGTATCCCTTTCACTTGGACTGTAAGCACTATGAACAGAAGGAATTCTGCATTCAGCTGCTTGCAGGTGAGCTGCCTAGGCTGCTATCACATCACCAAAGGCTTGGTCAGCAAAATACTGACCTGATGCGAGGTAAGAAAGAGCCAGGGTGGCCTTTTACTTGACAGAGAAATATTAGTTCTTGCACATTAAGAGAATTACTTACTGTGAGACTGAAATCTAAAAATCTCTCCAGCTTGAACATTAAAAGATGAAAAGTGGTCATCTCTATTTGCCTGACAGTATCCAGTGAGTGACATTTTTAGGCTAAGCCTAACAGCTCTACCCAAAAGCAAGGCCATCAAGTGATTCTTAGCTCCATTGTTTTGTGACAGTATGCTAAACATCAAAAACAAATTTTAAAAAGTCGATCAACAGACTTGTAAAAAAAAAAAAAAAAGCTAAGTGTGTACAGTGGCTTTCCAATGCACCATGAACTGAGACCATGAGAGTTACACATATCTACAACTGTGCTTTCTTCCATTAGCCACTGTTGTGCTGTTCAGCCCTACCTCAGTTCTCTTTGTAGTTCTGGATCTGTCCATTCCCACAAACAGGAGCTACTTCTTGCATGAGGGTATAATAACTGGTAGCAAACATTACATTGATTTTAACATGGATAACTGAGTCCCTAATCTGGCACAACATTCATGCTCATTGGTACAAGTTAGCGTCCAAAGCTGACAAGTTTATAAAATACTGATAACTTCCTGCATTTTTCATCATCCTCCAACCCTAGATGTTGCTGAAAACTTAAGATATCATACCACACTGAATATAATACTGCAGTGTATCCACCATGAAAAACAGCAACAACCACCACCTTTTAGATGATCTAACAGTAAGAAAGCAAAAGTAGTAGTATAGTATTGGCTCAGGGTGAAAGGATTAGGTTTCTAGTGATATGTCTCCTTTTGAAAGTGTGTCATATCAAGAAAAGTTGCACAACAAATACAAAGAGTAAACAATACTACCACGGTGCAAATTACTAAATGTAAACAAAAACAAAATGAAAGATGGCAGTATCCTCCCGTCTTCTAGAGAACTTGTGGCTGGAGCTCTAAACCAAAGATTTTACCACTTGCAAACCAGAAAACAGCAAAAGTGACAGTGCAGACAACTGCAAATCCTGAATATCCAGACTCAAAGCGCAGCACTTCAAGAACAATCTGTATTATCAAAATCAATCTCTTTCCTAGTCCAGTAGGGAAACACTCCTTAGAGCAGACTGGTCACAGCAACTGAGTCATACAGAAGAACAGATGCATCCAAAAAGCACTACACACATATTGTATGCTATAAAAACAAGCTGACAAGTAAACTTTACAGCAATACAAACAGCACATCCGCAGACAGATGATGGGTTCTAATCATTCCAGTGCTAAAGACAAACTGAAAGCCAAATCAAGAGCAACAGCCAATTGAGCAGTTTTGAGTAACACAGCCTTCCAGATGACAACATTTGAAACTTTGGAAGAGTTCAGACAGAAGAGCAACAAACTTCCTTGGCTATTCAGTAGGTGGCGAGTGGATGATAACCTCTACACCACTCTACAAGTTATGGTATGGAGCTGCACAAAACATGAGTGGTACATGAGAACCAACAGAAGGATGGTGATGCCACACAACATGACAATACAGCTAAAAGAAAATTACACTGTTTGACAGTCACTGATACACCTTTCCAAGTTTCTGGCAGACTTCTGCTCAGATAAAACATGCTGTTCATTTTTCAGAGATAGAAGATACAAATCCTTCTATCCGTACCCAACATCCTGAATATTAGTAAGCATTATAATCAAAATAAATATTCATTAACACCTGTTTCGTGGGAATTACAATTAGGAACAATCTTTACTGAGAGGTGCAGAAACTGGTCATCTCTGGAAATCAGCATAGGCTTTAAAGACACTAGTATTTGCAAGCTCAGGTAATCAGGTATGTAGCCATTTCTGACTTTGGTTTGCTATCTTCCATCATAAATGACGTAAGATTTTGTTTCACTTATGGTTTTTGAATTCCACCTAAACCATGGGCACTTCACACGTTCCTCTTACCTGCAATGGTAATTCTGTTGACTACAGTCTCACAGAAAAGCTGCAGCGGGTTTCTCCACTGTAAAAAGCAAATATGCAATACTGAAAACCATAGGTCACATCCCAAATACAAACACCACTGACAATTTATGAAATCAAGTGTTTTCCTACCATTAAAATGAAGTCAGAATGATTGCCGTGAATTATCTATCATCTATGCCTGGCACATAAGGAGCAGATGAGCAGGTTATCTATGGATATACTTAACAGGAAGTATGGAATTCAGAATTCCTCATGGGGAACCAAGCTTGAATAACAACTCTTCTTGTCCCTTGATCATGTATCTTTTTTTTTTTTTTTTCTCAAGCACACACTTGCTTGAAATGCAGGCATAGAGAAATGGGCTCTACCAACCTCCTCATCTTCAAGAGCAAAGCAACGTGTCCAGACTTAGTGCAGGCACTCTGTTACTAGGTGGCATCAGGTTTTGATGAACACACTGGTTTGCGTACGAATTAAAGTTTGCATCAGTGCCACCACCTTAAATTCATAATTGGTTTGTGTTTCATTTTAACTATTTTTAAGTAGAAGCCTACCCCCTGAAACTGCCGACTATGAAACGTTAGTCACAAAAGTCAGCTAGAAAGGAAAGGTGCAGTGCCTTGCAATTCTTCAAATAAAAAATGTCTCAATGCCACTAAGTACAACTTAAGATAGCAAAAGCAAGTAAGAGCTAAAGAACATTTTTAACAATACTGTACAGGTCCACATTCTTCCTAAACTTATCAGGAAGGAATCCCTGTAGCCAACCACATCTCAGTATTAAACTCTAGTCAAGTCTAAATACTTACAGCCACCTAGCTTAGTTTAAAAGAAAACTACTGTTCAGAAGAACTGATTTTCTGTTGTTTGGTTTTGGTTTGTTGTCAGTTTGTTTTTTTTGTTTGTTTTCTGTGGGCTTTTTTTTGTTTGTTTGTTTGTTTAATTTTGCTTTTGTTCTAAGTATCAATCTAATGGAGAACTCAGAATTTTAAAACAGATTCGGGAGAACAGTGATTTGAACCCTCTTTCCCTTTATACAATGTGATTCAGCAAGCAGAGTTAAGTTAGGCTTTGCCCAAAATGGAAAAAAAATGAAGAGTAAATAAGCTATCTTTTCTCCGAGTGTCTATTTGGCAAGTATTACTTGTTACAAGTGCCGCAGGGTGCTACCAGTAAAGAATACATTCAAACTCAAAAACCAGCAGGCATGGTTGAGAGAAAACAAAGTTCATGGTCGTTTAAGAGGTCTGTTTATTGGCTGCAGGGTCCAACGCCTTCTTTGCTGCTGCCATATGCAAAATCAACTCTCTTTTTGGTGCACAAAAGGTTCTCCTTGCACTTTGTTTCTAGGGCTCAATACAGTACCAGCAAGATTTCCAACCCAGCATCTTTTAATCAACACTGATGATCAATGAGGCAAAAAACAAACCATGCAACGTGTTTGTTTGATAAAATTAAGCTGAGAGTATTTATATATACACACACACACACACACACACACACACACACACACACACACAGAACATTCAACACACTGTAACCTTCTTGCAGTCTTACATTTTCTTGACCAAGCATCCAAACACCTCTGTTCTGGTGTAAAATACTGTTTCATAACGTTTGGTGTAAAAGCTTCTTATTTAACAATGCCTTTCAATGGATTCTACTGCACCTATTTTTGACACAGAATTTTTGTTACATACCAACGCCACACATTTTCAGTCATATTACACAGGACAAAATAAGGCATTCACAGACATCCAACTGCTCCGATTGCAAGATTTCAATTTTCCAGAGCTTTCAGCCACGACCTCTGAAGACCATGAGAACCTAACAGGAAGGGCGAGTCTGTAGGAGATGGAGAGCTCATCCAAGAATTATAAACCTATTTCCTGACACTGCTATACACCACACAGAATTTAAGCATATTCTGTTCATAAATAAAAATTCATTCTTAAACATCATTGGGTAACAACAGGACTTAGGCACTTTTAAAGATTTTATATCTTTAATAAGGGGAAAAATTAGACTACAGGGCAAGCAATCACCTGGGAATTGAAACATTCGTGATTGGCAAGAAGCAGCTCAATAGCTTAAACATGTAGACTCTTTATGCAGACTTTGTTATAGAGAAGAGAACCTCAGTGACTAGCACAGGACTCTGCACATGAGGCTCTGCCAGAAGAAATCTGTTTGCAAAACCAAGGACCCAACTGTTAAGTTAAAACATGGTAAAATAATACACTTCAGGCAAGACATTGTATGTGAAAAATCACTCTTGCAAACAACTCTCTTTTCAGGAAAGCACACTGTGCCCAGAAATGGGTAACACGGATTCACATCCCAACATGCTCAAGCCTTGTAAACAACAATGACTAAGAGAACAAAAAAGGAGGAACATGAACCTATACAAGCTGGATTTGCCAAGACAGCTGAAAGATTTGTTGAATTTCTAGAAATGGCTTCTTTTCAAAGGAGACTTGGATCCCATCCTGCGCTGGCTGGCACTAAGAGAATGTGATTTTACATACACTGTGGTCTCTAAGGCAAAGCAATCATCTGCTAATATAAAACAAGTAATTTAAGAGCTTTCTTTACAACTCAAAGGCTTTCTACATGCTAAATTTATAAGAGTGAAAAAATCTGTGCAGGCTGAAAAAAAAATATACGACCTTGTATATTGTCAGATGTCAAATGCAACATCAGTGAAGAGTTGAAGCGGTAAGCCTCAGGTCCCCAGAGGGAGTGAACAGACAGGATGAGGGAAGCTAACTCGGTATTGAGGGATGGTGAGATTCTGTAAATAAATAAAACGATTCTGCAAAGCAACACAAGTTTGTTAACAGTGTTGCCTTCTCAGATAGAGCTGTTGTCAAGCATCAACATAATGAAAACCACCACACTCCAACAGTCAGGACATCAACAGCCATACAATGCTGCAGTCCTTACAGCATGCAGAACATTCCAGTTCATTTCTCAGCAATTTAAGTGGCCAACAGAGGCCCAAATCTATTGGTTTAGTGCTTCAGAGCATAGAATTTACGCCCTCCTCCCCCCAAAAAAATTAAAAGGGTGAAAGGTTTCTAACTAACATTCCCTTTTCTTTTTGGTATAGTGCAATAGCAAGCTAAAGGCCCAGCTGTGCCACCCTGACCCAGACAAAACTTGTATCATCTTCCCTGTCAGTTTGTCTGTATGAGGATAATACATTACAAATTTTTAGGGATTACTTAAAAGCAAAATAAAACACACATTTTCCCCCCCCCCCCTCACCTGATAACAATGTAAGGAAATTCATCACACACAAGAACTGTAAGTCAGTTGTTTAAAGAGTGAATAGTTGAAAATGGAGTAAATCTAATTTGCTCCCAAAAGTATCAGACATTCAATAAATTTTTTTAATCTGTTTACCAGCAATATCCATCTGGGCATATCTGTAGCCCTTTTGTACTAAAAAACTTGAGTCTTCAATGCATATACTGCACATCTGCTAGCAGGATAAAATACATTGATTAACTCTTCTACAGGACTTTTACATTCAGCCCTTCAAAAACCAGACATCAGATTCATCCACATAGACATAACAAAGCAGACAATACTTCTTGCTTAGTAGACTTGAGGTTTGCACTGTCCTTTCCATAACATTGCCTTTCGGCTACTTCAGAATCTTTCCTCATTTGCCATTTGCCTAAAAGTATTATGCAAATTCTGCTCAAGTCTTTCAGACCACATGAAATTAAGCTGTCCAAACTTATCACACTGGTATCAAAATGCACTAAAAGTTACTTTTGACTAGGCAGTACTCAGGCACCTACCACTCAGGTTGCAATCAGTGTTTCTGTTTGACTAAACTGTTATCAATTGTCAGCAGCAGTATAAATACTAACCCTCTCTTCCCTCCCTCCCTCCCTAGTGACTATTTAAAGGAAACAGCACTACTTTACCCTCCAATATGAAAATGCAGATTATGGAACATCTTCAGAGGCTTCTGAGTAGGGCACGGCTCCTAACTGAAGACTTCTTGGCATGGACACAGGGAGGGAGATATTTGCACTGTCTTGCATTAGGTGCACTGCCAGGAATCTCAAGCAAGCACCTGGGCTGCCTATAAAGTTCCCTGAGAGAACATTTCACTTGCTCTTTCAGGAGTCCACCCCTCTGGTAAGACAGCCCAGATATCTCACCTGCATGCCTCAAGTTAGACTGCATGAACAGCCTCACATGAAGTGCACACTCTTACAGTGCAAAACTCAGTCTGCAACATGCAAAGTGGCCGTGCTGGCAATGACAAAGTGAATTTTTTTTTTCTAATGCTGTCATAAAACATCTGCAGCAAGCAGAAAATGGTCAGATGTCCCTGTTATACACTCATGCTGCCAGTTCCAGAAATACCATCACTCTGGACAAAGGTGACTACTCCCAGGTCTAGCCTCAAACAAGAAAAGACCTTACCACACTGGATTCATCACGTTGGGCTGAATGACAGTTAATCTATCTTTAATGCAGAAGTAGAGCTATTTCAATGGAACTTGGTCTGAGGAAAAAAGCAGAAAGTCCTATCTGAGAGGTTAAGTCATCAGATGCTATTAAGAGAATAACACAGCACTTTGGGAAAGGTTGAGTTTGGAGGGAGACAAAAGGTCCAAGCTCAGAGCACACATCATATTGGTAAGTATGGCACCAGCATCAGAGTTCAGGTGCTCAGTGTCCAAAAAGTGACAAAAATGGCACCTCCACTCTCTACGGATCTTTGTGCGTATATCAGAGTGCCTCATGCTCTAAGTGACATGCTATCCCACGCTTTGCTTTGCCAGTTAGGCAGCTATAAATAAAGTGACCTATGGCTAGCTCCCACATCGACGTGGTGAATCCAGCTGCAGTAGACTCAACATCTCATTATTTAGATTTCACGTGTCAAGGACAGCAGTTGTGCTGTTTTGAAAAAGCTGCATTTTACCTGTAAACATAAGGCATTTTTCCTGAGAGCTCCTGACACAACTTTCAAACCTCCCACTATGACATTTTTAGTCACTTTTCAGAGCAGGATCACACTTAAACCTTCTGCCTTGAAAGAAAACTCCTTGTGCTTCGGCATGTAACAGTACAGCAGAACGTGACCAGGAAAAGAAGAATCTGGGAAAGCTGCCCAGATATTAATTAGCTCTCATGCCCTCCTTGGCCACAAACACTACCACAAGGACAACTTTTTGTATTATGGTCCAGTGCATGCAGGAGGATGTTGGTTATCAATAAGATTTTAAGTTTCTGGAGTCCACGTGAGGTTTCCAGTTTTTCCACTTTAGCCTCTGACTTGTATGGACTCAGCTAAAAGAGATGAGCAGCATTAGTAGTGGATATGAACCTCAGCTTTACTATAGCAGCACATTTTAGCCTTCTTTTCCCTGGCTCAGTTTCTTCACCGGTTCTTGAGGATGAAAATGTTGCTGTTCTTTGGTAGATACAGGAATCTGTCAGCAGAGTTCTCCTGTCCTAACACTGACACATGAACAAATGGGAACATTTTAAGCCTCTTTTAATCTCTGACCTAACCCACTGCACATAACCAAATGGCAATGTGTTTTTATAGCATCTTTTCCCTTTTCCTCCCTCAGCAGGAATTCGTCTTATCCCTTCAGTCTCAACACATACACACGCTCACACACACAAAGCCAATCCAACAAGGAGAGTATGGGCAAGAGTCAATGGAACAACGCTCATTAGTACATCATTATGAAATTGTTTCTTTCAAAGAATATAAAGTTTAACACATTCTGTACATGTTGTTGGTTTCTTAGTTATAAAGTAAACATAGTAATAAACTGTTCATAAAGCAATGACACGTTTCAGACACAGCCCCTTCTTTTGTTTTGTTGAAAGTCCTCTTCCAGTCGGAAACACTCAGTGATGTACTGCAAGTGTGCATATGGTGTATGACAGCAGAGGAAGGAAGAAAGAGGCACTTTTGATCGGCTGGTATTCTTTGACTTCCCTTTTTCTGCGGAGGTTTATGTTCCTGACGCTAGATGGTAGTGTTAGCACAGAAAACTGCTGAGGTTAGGCACTTGGCAACAAGGCTCCAAGGCTGTGCCCGCTCTCTGCTATGTCATCAGAATTGGTTTCTGCCGCACTTCCAGGATATCTGGGAAAGGGAGAGAAATAAAAAGAAACAGCACACTTAGGAGGTCCTGGAAGTAGCCACCACACAAGCAATTCTAGACTGCAGCATACATCCCTTGTTACACCACTAACGGAATTCAAAACGCAACTAGCATGAAATTTTGCCTATAAATCAAGTCTGATCCAATTCCTCCCCACCTGAAGGATGCTAAGTCTCAAGTATATCCCATCACACAGACATGATATCTGAGCTAAATATCACTTATAGTGGAATGAAACATGTGCTTAGACATGGAGAGAGTGGCAATCTTCCAAAGAAAAAAAAGTTTAAGCATGAAAGGATATGCCAATTTTTTATTTTTTCCTTTTGAAGGGAGAAATGCACCATCCTCAAAAACTTTAAGACGACTTTTGGTTCTGAAAATACGCATACAAGTAATTTAACAGTCTCATCTGAAGTCTACATTCCTGCACTCGAAAGGCTGATCCCGTTTGTTGGCTCCTCAGTTCCATACTGTCCAAGTGCGACAGAATATTAACCTTCAAGATACTTGTCTAATCATAGTCATATTCCCAAATAATAAAACTAAAGTGTTGGCGTGGAAATATGCAGAAGCATCTGGAAACTGGGCTGCTAGGTCTTTTCCTAGGCTACACGGAGAAAAAAAGAATGTGGGAAAAGGGAGCGCATGCTTAATTAAGAGGCAGGTCACACACATCTGCATACAGAAGGTGACATGAGAAAAGAATTGATCCATGGCTCCAGAAGGTTTGAGTCGCACTTATAAAAAAAATGAGATGTAGCGGAGTGAATCCGGTAAAGAGGCACAAAGGCGATTAAGGGATTGGACCATCTGACACGCAAGGGAAGGCTGAGAGTTGGGTTGCTTAGCATGAAGGGAGAGAAGGCCCAGAGTAGAGGAAGTCTTATTAATACACATAAAGTCCAGATATTTTTGAATATACTTTGATTGCTATCCCTAGGACTTTAATTTTGCAGTACAGGCTTCCCTCAGCTACCCAAGGGAGATGAACATCTCTCCGTAATGCTCCCTTCCTGTAGGAAAGCTAGCACTGACACTAATGCATTCACTACACAAAGGACTGCAAATAGGCTCTACCTGATGTGCCATGCTAAAGTAAACACCGACAGTGAAGAACTGCAGGTTAAAATCCTGCCTTATAACCCAGACATTTTACGTCCTATTTCTGTGTGTCTTGATATATGCACTGACTCCTGCAACCATATGTTAAACAAATTAAGTCTCAGAAAGTACATTCAAGCTAACAGCAAATATTTGAGCGTGGAGGCATTTGTGCCACCCACTTGAGCAAGTATTACATGCCAACAGGAACAATTCTGTGTGAACTCTAAAATGCCTGTGGCAAGAGAGAGAGCAAGCTTGCTAGCACCAGCTAATTAGCTGTAACGATACCAACACAATCATCGTAACTAATAATTATATATTTTGCTGAAGCAAAATCCACTTATAAGAGGATCAATTCTTACTGGAAATTTTTTATTTCTTCTCAGCTGAAATCAATTCCTATATGCAGTGAAATGGCAAATAATGTAGGAGCATCTCTGTAAGTATAATTTTCTACCTTATCAGTTACAGTTTTCTTTCTCTGTAGAGAAGGAACCATTATACTTTTGCAGCAGAGTCTGACATCTCTGCTTGCAAACAAATACTGTAGCTATTACTACAACATTAGTATAGTACAACCAGTGACATTAATAGCACACCCATGCTTTCTTCCCATCTCTTTTAGCAGATCTGTTTACCAATAGATTAACAAGTTCTTTCCTCTTAGTTACTTTTCAGGAATAGTCTGTAAATAACCACTATGTAATATATATGTTCTCTTTTTAGACCCAGGCAAGAAAAAGCAGGTACTGATCAAAAGCCTATAGCCTACACAAACCTTCTCAAAAGTCATCTGACCCAGTGAATGGGAGGAGAAAGATTAAATTCACAGATGAAGTTAGAAGGCTCTCCAAAGGTTAGCGACAGGACCTCAAACTGCTATATGATCATATTTATTGCAGGGACTGACAACTTAATTCAAATGTAGAATTTAGAGTTGAGTATCTCAGGCACAACCACTGCTATTTTCCATCTGTATCAAGCTTTCTTTGTATCTGAAATAGTCAACGTGTACTTTCAGAAAAAAGGCATTTCAGGGCTTCACTTAGAATGCATGAAGAGAGTGGACAATAACACTAGTAACATACAGATGCAAGAAATTACCAGTGTATTTGTAGTGGTATTTACAGAGAAGAGAATGCTTAAGAAAATTGAGAAAGCAATAGTGTTTAAGTATCCCAGAGTCCCAGGAGCTCCCTCATACTGCAAGCTATATCCCAGAGAGGCTAGCATGCCTGCTGATTGCTAGAGTTTAAACAGATAAGTAGCTTTCCTTGGTTCATCTGTAATTTTAGGCATACAAGGATTATTTGGGTAAAAAATTGAAACCTCAGTACTTGCCTTCAGGTTGAAAAATACAACTGATCTTGATACTGTAGTCATAGAATTATAGAATAGCTTAGGTTGGATGGGACCTTAAAACTCATGGAGCTCCAACCCTTCTACTGTGGGCAGGGTTGCCACCCAACCAGCTCAGGCTGCCCAGGACCCCATTCAACACTTCCAGGGATGGGGCATCCACAGCTTCTCTGGGCAACTTGTGCATCACCACCCTCTCTGAGTAAAGAGCTTTTTCCTAACATCCAAACTAAATGTTCCTTCTTTATTAATTTAAAGCCATTTCCCCTTGTCCTATCACTATTAGACCATGTAAAAAGTTGCTCTCCTTCCTGCTTACAGACTACTTTCAGGTACTGGAAGACCACGATGAGGTCTCCCCTAGATCCTTCTCTTCTCCAAACTGAACAAGATCAGCTCCTTCAATTCATCTTCCCAGGAGAGATCCTCCAGCCCTTTGATCATCTTTGTACCCCTCCTCTGGACCTGCTCCAATAGCTCTGCATCCTTCTTGTGCTAGGGGTCCCAGGCCTGGATGCAGCACTCCAGACGGGGCTTCATGAGGGCAGAGACAATCATCTCCCTCGTCCTGATGGCCACCCCTCTTCTGATGAAGCCCAGGATACAGCTGGCCTTCAAGGTTGCAAGTGCACTCTGAAAATCCAGCTGAACAAACACAGACTTGACTATGATCAATATAGTAATTGGCAGAGCTAGACCAACCACACAGGACTGATTGTTCATGGTGTGACACAAAAAATCATTTTGTTCATTTAGTTAAAGAAATTGGGTGCCTAAAAGACTTACAGGCAGTGTGGACTCTTGGATCAATCCAAGAAACTCAATTAGAAAACAAATCTAGGACTCAGCACTGACATAGGTGGTCACTAAATTCCGAAGTTACCTTTCCATAGCCCTCTCAGTCACAGGTCTCTGCTACATACAACTATTGCTCACTGGATAGATACAGAATAAATTGCCTTGCACTAAGGAAGTAGATGAACTTTCTATTTCAGTATTAAAGCCACTAACATTCCTCTGTAAATAAAAACTACTATCTTGTTTGAACCCTCACAAAGGAAAATCAGCTCAAAGCCTGAGAACAATTTGACACCATTCTGCTTGTTTACACTGATTTGCTGCTACAGTCAGCAAAATGGAGTTTGTTGAGGTTACATTTCCTTTCATAGAAAAACTTGTTCCTCTATCTTAGTAGCAAAATCCCACAACACAGGGGCAACCTGGGAGAACCAAATAACTGTGTTTATAGGTAATGCATCTTAAAATTCACCTGTTAAAATTCGATGCAATGGCAAAGTGATGTAAGTTAAGTGTGCATAGAGTAGAAAATTTTCATCTGTTCTGTTCAGTTTCAGCCATGAGCCCACCAGAGACCTTCCTGTTCCAGATAAGGAACGCGACCTCAGATTTGTTGCATTGTGCAGATCTGTAAAGGTAGAAAACAGCAAATTTTAAAGTGATTGTACTTTCTGTAATTCACTGTAAGACTCAATGAAAGCTTCTGAAAGTCAAAGAAAAAAAGGAAACCCAACTATTCACCTTCTAGATATGAATCACACATGCATGTCACTTATTTTTAAATTAGTCAGAATATGCCCAATACAGAACTCACTATTTACAATGAAGCTAATGAACTATAGCAACAGCTGGCAGCAGTAGTAAACCATCATCCATTAATAGGCAAGCTAGAAGACAGAGGAGGAGAGGGAATTAAGAACCTGCAAAAGCAAAATCCTAGGCCAGTCCTCCTTTGTATATGAAATAATAGAATATCCTTACAAAGTAGTTATTCATGTTGAAGTGTAACAGAAAGAAAATTCCATCTTATGAAGAAAATTGTAATCTACAAGATGCAGGGAGAGTCAGTATTAGTAAGCAAGTTCACTGTGGTCTTCATGCATTCCCCAAACCAAACGTGGGATCCTTCTGCCAAAGTCAGTCTCCCCTGAAGTTAGTTTAGAGATCCACAAATATAATTTAAAACAAAAAGGCACTGAAATCCCTGTAAGCTAAAGGAGATTTTTATAGCTGAAGACACAAATGCATGAGTTACATCTTCCCAGTGTTCGTAAGTGTATTCTCCATTCCTCTGCCAAATTTAGCCCTACTCCACAGCACTAAAAAGCTCATGAAGTGAACATATTCCTGACCAGTCTGATCCAAGCTCTGAGAAGCATTTGCTTAAAAATAGGTTCTGATCAACCAAAGGCCTTAGCAAAGAAAAGCAGCAGCACATAACAACATAGGATTAGAATATCTTTATTTCCTTCCCTATAAATACATATGGCCAGTCCATTCCCTCTTCCCACATATTAGAGCTACGTCAACAGCACTATGGTGATCAGGTCAGCATGACCTAACTCTGGTAGCTATAACAGGATCAATTCTCCTGTCGTGTCATGCTTGCACACGGCAAAAGCAAGTGAAGTCTCTGAAGGGCTGTTCATGTCTATATCAGGTGTGTCTGTACTGGGATCAGGTCAGCAGCAGCACTAGCCGAATCCAGAACACTACTGACCTTCAGGCAAGCCAGTTATTCTCCACCAACAAGACCAAGAGATAGCAGAATTTCCCTACAATAATCAAATAATAATACAAATAATTTCACTACTGCAGTGCCTGATTAAACACTGGTAAGACATTCAGGTTTCTATAATTAAGAAATCTAATATAAATCTCCTTTTAGAAAGCCCATTCTAGAGTAAATTAAACTTCCTAGCATAAGCTTTTAAAAATATTCATTTTAAAAACTATATACATATATTTTTTAAAAAGGCCTAGGAACAGTAAGGTCAAAACATCTACAACTGTAAACAAAAGCATGTATCTCAGTATTTTACACGTATGCTCTATTATTTGCATACTATAAGATGTTTGGAAAAAATCAGTCATTTTTCTGCTCAAACATTTTTAAAGGGATAGAAAATGAAAATAAGAAGAATGTTCCTCATGACCATTAGCATACCAGGATCAGACCTAGCATACTGAGCAGGCACCATCACCTGGATGGAAAGCTGCTGGATAAAAACTTTGAACCCCAGCCTATCTTCTGCAGCCCCTAGGAGAAATAAATTGGAACAGCAGGACTCCATATGGGAAAGCCACTCTTCCCATCATACTACATAGTAATTGACCCACACTGTAGCCTTTATATAATTAAACACGGAGACAAATTGTTCTCCAGCCCTCAAACAGATGCTAGACCTGTGAACCCAGTTTTGGAGTGTCACCAGTGTTGGACTTTCTGCAGAGCTAGGTTTTTCATGCTGCAAACCTTTTGAAAAATCCAGCATTGGGATCCCTTTCCACAGATGTGTTTCCCCTTCTCTCTGAAAGTCTGTTTAGCTGATGTTACTTCTCTCACCTCCACCATCATCATCTCTGAAGAACTCCTCACTGTCATTTGCTGAGTGGGATTTTTTCATCTCAGCAATTCGATTTCGGGGCACTTTCCTCTTAAGAGATGGGGAGAAAAAGGATGGGCGATTGTTGCGTTCTGGAGTCGGTGGTGTGCTGAAAGACGTGAGCTGAAAGAGAATAGAAGAAATGATGGAGAAAATTGTTTTTGTCTTACTAGAAGCATCGAACTTTTTAGTCTGAAATGTGCCATAAGGTAGTCACATTTAATCACTCAATCACAACTGGCATCTAGTTTTAGCACAGTGGTGTCAGAGAATGTCAACTGCAGAGTCACCTCAGCTTGAAGCTGCTCATCAAAATAAGATATGTTAATGCATCAGCACCCTTAACTGTTACGTGAAAAATAAAACAATGAAAAACCCCTTTCTCTTCAGAGCTGTCATGTGATCACTTTTCACAAAGATTAATGTAATTGTGTAATCACAAAGGATTAATAATTTATTTAGGCACCAACAGTGTCAATCTTATTTTTGCACGTTGAAATGCAGAAGACTTACTAAGCTAAGAATGTACTTAGTGAACACAAAACTGTGCATCATCATTTCTTTGGTAAGCACAAGGTAGTTGTTACCCGGGTTAAATGGATGCCACATGAGATCACCGTAAACGTCACTGTGAAGCAGGGTCACAAGGCAATTACCTAACCCAAGAACATGACACAAAAGCCTAATTAATGCTCAACTGTACATATATTATTTCTCTACAGAAATAATTTCTCTCATCTCAGCCTTCCTTTCTCACACTGTTGATTTAACAGTCCTGTAATGTTCAGATCTGACGCTGCTTGTATTTATCCTTGCAAATACAGAGGGAGGTGATAAGCAACAGAGAATGATAGCCAAACCACATTGGTGTTGCACTGAGAAAGCCCTTATGTTATCCCTCTGTCATTAGTACATATATATTAAAAAAAAAAAGAGGCATTCTATCACCTAAATGATTCTCCCATAAGTGCACTTGATCTCTAATCTATGCTTGTCTCAATTTCTTTTTAATTCTATTGTCTGTTTCTGGTTTACCCTCCAGGTGTGATAAGAAATGACAAGAGGCCATTAAAGCCATTAGCAAAGAGCAACAACAACACATCAACAGAGACAGTGGAAGCCTGGTAGCTATAAGCTCAGGAAGTCCCACCAGGCATGGTTTCTACAGACTGTATCTGTACAGTACAGAAGACACATATTCAATTAATGTGTTCAGTGCTGACTGCTCATTTGGCCTTTTAAGAATCCAGAAGTCATACTCTTTCATGGGCACAGCTGAAAGCAATTCTGTGGGTCTACCAACTACAGGCTTAGTGATGTTGCATAAGAATCAGTAATCACACAGCCTGGGTCAGGACATACCTGTACAGATACTTTAAAGGCACACTGTCTAATCCCCATTAACTAGGTTAAAAATCATAACTAAAAACAGTGTGTAGGATTGATTAAGGGTTAAATCAGTATCTCTAGACTTACTTCACTGGTATTTTACTGCGCTTGCATTAGAATTCAGCATATGCATAATTACAGTTCTGCATCTAGATGTATAGTTCTTGCTTTAATATTACAACCTTCCTGCTGCTGGCAAAATCTCTCCATAAAACTCCTCAAAAATTACCTGTGAGGTTTAGTAAGAAAGCTACATCATATACAAATTCCATGTTTCTAGGTAACCCCCATCTTGTACAGAAATGGAATCTATTAATTTTCATAGAAAATAGGCAGATCCATCATTTTCCCTGGCATCAACACTACTGTTGTTTCAGCAAAACACTCCTCCAGAAATATGAATCATGCATTCTTCTCTGTATTCAGTATTTGCTTAAGGAAAACTGTTGACTAAAATCCACCTGCATATGGGGAACGTATAAACAGGAGGGAGAACAACTTTTAGATGGGTTGATAGTGATAGGACAAGGGGGAATGGTTTTAAACTAAGACAAGGGAGGTTTAAGGCTGGATATTAGGAGGAAATTTTTCACACAGAGGGTGGTGACACACTGGAACAGGTTGCCCAAGGAGGTTGTGGATGCCCCATCCATGGAGGCATTCAAGGCCAGGCTGGATGTGGCTCTGGGCCGCCTGGTCTACTAACCACTAGACCCTGCACATAACAATGGGGTTGGAACTCAATGGTCTTTGAGGTCCTTTTCAACCCAGGCCATTCTGTGATTCTGTGATACATTGAATATATTCAAAATATACAATGCAAAACTAAGTTCAGAACCATCATGTCAGTTAATTCCAGCTTCAGCCCCTCAACTGACTTTGAAGTAAAACATATGCTTAACCTTAGGTCAGTCTACTTACTCTCTCATGCACTGGGGAGTCTGGATTTGAATCTTCTTCTGTTCCATAAGGTGAAGTGTCGCCAGTAGGAACTCTACTCACTGCCATTTCTGCATGTCCTTTCCCTTGGGGCCCTTTCATTCGGACAAACTCCATGTTGTTATACTTATAAAAGCCAAATGACATTCTTTGAGCCATCTTTGCTGCAACGCTCACCTACAGTGAATGAGACAGGAAAGAAATACACACAATTTAATTGCCAGATCTGAAATATTATTTTAAATACAAGTAAAAAACTTGTGAATAACATGACCGTTATCTTGATTCTTGGGAAGCATTTTAAGCCACAATATGAAGTAAATTCTAAAGGGAAAGCAATTTTACAGATACAAGAACAGTGGCTCAGAGAAGAATCAGCTCCTTCAGCTATCCAAAAAGCAGAGTTATCCAATGACACATTGAGATAAAAAGTCTTTTACCCAAACCTACACACCATGGCACACTGGAGCACAGCTCCAGGCACATGCACAGCTCCTCACAGGTGAGCAGGGATGCCTGCTTGAATCAAAACATCACAAACAACTAAACTTGAGCAGAATGGGACTCTGTGCCTACCTTATGGGAAGCATAATTCTGACATTTTTATATTCACACTGTCAAGCCCAAAGTGTAATGACAAAGTCCTGATGCACAATTAACACCTGCATGACAACATCACTTGCCACAAAACCCTGACAGCTTTTGAACTCATGGCAGAGAGAAGGGCTGTTTTGACTCAACGCAACTGAACTGAAAACTGAACTGAGAAATGAAAAAGAGAACAAAACAATATGAAAATGGTCAGGGTTTTGTCAAGCAAAATAAGAAGGACCTATCCACAAGCTTCACTGGTTTATCACAACATTCAGCACTTTAACCCCTTAAGCAGCCACATTTGTTCATAATATAACAATCCATACTGCACTAAGAAGTAAAGCAAACAGCTAAAACCCAAGTAACCTTCAAAAGTGCACATAGCTTACTGCTGCTCTCTTCTGATAATACAAAGAAGTCAGACTTTTAAGATTTGCCTTTACCTGTAACCAAATACCAAAACAAGTCATTCCATTTTTCATCTAATAAAACTGCAGCATGGTCAAGCAGGACATTCCTCAGCTATAACATGACACTAATACATCAAATGTTGTCTCTCTACTGCAAGACTTTCTTCTTATTTAGTCCTTAGAGGCTCTGCAGTCTCACCTACTGATAATTTCAGACAATAAGATGATGGCAGGACAGAGAAAACTTTAGTTTCATGTTCTTTGGAGGAACAACTACAAAACTACTCTCATTTCAAATGGGAGAGTAGAAATTGTTCAGAATCTCTATTGTAAAGGGTAATAACAAAGGAAAGTGAAGGAGTTTACAGTCACAGTGGGTACTGATTGGCTTTCTTTTCTTTTAATCCTTCAGTACTGTCTTCGCAGCAAATCTTTGGTAAAGTTTATTGGCTCTTGCTACCTCTCAACTTCAAAACTAAGTACTGAATTTGAAGCTGGGAGTGATGGTATTTCACATTCCTATCCGAAAACAATGAAAACTTTTGCAGGAATGAAACTCAGTGTTTTACATATAACAGATAGCAGAGTTCAAGATCTCCCTGTAAAACATGCCTTCTCACAGGTCAGTAGAAAAATTCATGAGCTTTCAGAAAAATGGAAGGGTTCCCAGAACTTTGTTATTCATATCTATTTTGGTGTCACATCCTGCCATGCTTACCAGCTTTACTCCTTTTGGCAAACACAAGACTAAAATATCCTGATCTGAGAAACTTCAGCCATTTGAGACAAAAAGCACAAACTATGGAGCAGCTTTCACAGCCAAATAGGATAAATTACAATGAAGATGATCTAACAGCACAAAAAGCCAACAGTCTCAGTACCAAAACTGTGGTAGCATCATTGCTACAAGACAATGTTGTTCAGAGCACCTTACCCTGTTGTCATAGACCTTCTTGAGTGCTTCATAGCGGATGGATCCCTGGAAAATCACCCCTTGGAAAGTGTTGCTTTTGTCACTGGCCACCAGCTCCACACAGACCATTTCTCCTTCTCCCACAGTCATGTCACTGAAAACCTGCAAGATGCAAGATGAAACACTTAAAGGAAAATTGCAGCTGTCAAAGCTACAATACTTTCAGATTCCCTCTCCTTATGCCTAACGCAGATTCAATGTCAATGGAAAAATGCAAGGAATCTGAAGGCTCCATCCCAGCCTTTCCAAAGATCATAGACTATAGACAATGCCCACTGCACATCATGCATTAGGTTTGGCATCTCTGAAAATCATCCTCTCTTGCTTCAACCCTTCATAAGACTTGCATCAAATTCAGCTCTAAATCCAGATTTCAGAGATATTAAAGAATGAGGAATATCTCATATATATAGTGTGTATGTATATATATATATATATATATATACACACACACACACACTATATATATATATACTATGTATAATCACCATGACTTACACAATATTCAAATGGCCAAGAGTATTTGTTCAAAAGTGCCAGAAAACAACTACTTAGGATATAAAACCAGTACAGGACAAAACCCCACTGCAGCAAGGAACTCACCTCTTCAAAACTGTCAATCATAAAGAATATGTTGGGATAGCTGATCTTTGACTCTTCTCCTTTGCTATCCATTGGGTGTTTGCTAGGAGATGCAAACACTTGCTGAGAAAGACATTGAAAAAGAAAATTACATCTTCTCAGTTAAATGTGCCCTGGAACGGGTACATCAAATTCCAGGCAAGCAATACCAAAACACCATGGTCAACACTGCACAGTCAGCCAACACCTGCACTTAGGTTGAACATCCTGAATGCAAAGCTCATCTTACAATAACGACAGAACCTTCCACTTGTGAAATTCATGAGTTTTCATGTGCAAACAATCAATTAATTCATGGTAGATGCTTCTGTATGCATC